CATAGTGAACATCGCAACAATTTTTTAAAAATCATATTCTCTGATCCCATTTCAAACAAATTAAAACTTAGTAGACAAAGAAAATTTAGGCAAAAATCCAATTGTTTACTGATTTTAAAATTACTTTTATTTATTTATTTGAGAGAGAGTGCACGCATGCATACAAGCAAGGGAGGTGCAGAGGGAGAGAGAACCCTAAACAGGCTCCACACTCAGTGTAGAGCCTGACATGGGGCTCTATCCCGCCACCCTGAGATCATGACCTGAGCAGAAATCAAGAGTAGGACAGCCACCAACTGAGCCACCCCTAAGAATTACTTATAACCCAAAGGTCAAAGGCAAAAATATGATTTAAATAAGAAAATATTCAGAATTAAATGATAAGTTTAATAGTAATATAAGGACCTCTGAACTTCAGCTAAACTAGTACTGGGAGTGAAATACATGGTTCGTAAATGCCAATATCAGAGGTGAGGAAAGGCTGGAAACTAATGAGCTAAAGCTAATAATTAAAAATTAGGAAGGAAGCATCTTGATGCCTACAACTTGCTTTCAAATGATCCAGTGAAAGAGAAAAGCATATGTTGCTAATTATTAGCAATTGCTAAGTTTTAGGAAAAGGATATGAATATTATCTCACTCTTTCAACTTTTCTGTAGGTCTGGATTTTTTTTTAAATAAATTGGGGGGAAAGATACAAATATTTTCTTTAAAATCAGGAAGAAAGCAAAGATGTCTTTTATCATCATTTCTATTCATTTTATTAACGATTGTAGCCAATGCAATATGACAAGCAAAAGAAATGAAAATTATAAGGATTAAGAAGGAAGGAAAATTATTCTGATTTGTACACTTTATGATTTTATGATGGTCTACTTAGAAACCCCAAAAGAATCTGCAGGTACATTGTTAGGATTAGTACTATAAAGTTGCTGGAGCTACACCAATATGTAAAAATTGATTGCATTTCTATATGTCAACAAAAACTAGTTCAAAAATATCATTAGAAATAACTAACCTTTTAAATAGCAACAGAAAAATCTAAGGTACCTAAGAATAAATTTTTAAAAAAAGATGTTTAACACCTGAGTGATGAAAAATTATAAAACTTGACTGAAGGTCTTTCACGAAAGTCTAAAACAAAGTAGAATATGGGTCAGGTTTATGGATAGAAGAGACATCACAGGATGTCAGTTTTTCCCAAACTCATCTATTATTGGATACAATTCAGTAAAATTTCCAGTGGGTTTTTAACAGAACTTGACAACGCTGATTCTGAATATATGGGAAAGCAGTGCTCAAAAAGAGCTCAGGCACTTATGAAGAAAAACAAGATGGTTGACAGTCTTACCCTAGCATATATAAGACGTATCATAATTAGGACAGTAATCAAAAGTAGACAAACCAATGCAACAGAAAGAGAGATTAGGAGAGAAAAGATGGACTGTTTAGTACCCACATTTAGTGAGTCCTTGGGCTTGTAAGATTTTTTGTTTTTTAGAGACTGTTCAAGAAGTGTGCTAAGGCGGCACCTGGGTGGCTCAGTGGGTTAAAGCCTCTGCCTTCGGCTCAGGTCATGATCTCAGTATCCTGAGATCGAGCCCCACATCAGGCTCTCTGATCTGTGGGGAGCCTGCTTCCTCCTCTCTCTGCCTGCCTCTCTGCCTACTTGTGACCTCTGTCTGCAAATAAATAAATAAATAAATCTTAAGGGAAAAAAAAAAAGTGTGCTAGGTCCTGGCAATAAAGGGTAGGATTTCACAATGGCCATCAGGTACAAGTTGTATACCTGCAGTCTGGAGTCTTTAGCTCTTGATGAACTTCTAAAATTACATGCTAAGTTTTATACCAATTTTTCTGGATGAGTGTTCATCAGATTCTCAGAGGGGTTCTTTCACACCCCCAAGTGGTTACAAGGTGCTACATTCTTGACCGTTTTATGACACATTTAATTTCTGAAGTCTCCACTAGATGCTATATGGTTACCAAGGAGTGTCATCAAAGCTTGGGGTGTAGAGGGCTTAAGGGGAGAAGAGCAAGAAAGTCTGTTCAACAAGTAATGCTTGAGCTGAGCTGAGTGTGGAGGAGGACAGACCATTTATTCTGGCTACAGAGGGGGAAAGAAGGGATCCTAGGCCAGGAGAAAGGTGTGTGCAAAGCCTGGGGATGGAGCCTGGGCCATCATGTGGGAAACTTCAACTGTAATTGAATGGGAATAGCTAGAAGGGGAATACAGAAATAGGACAAGAAATGAAACTAGCAAGTTGAGCAGTTACCGGATATTTCAGAGATCTCTATTCTGTGCTAATGAATAATCTTCTGACCTACTTCTGCTTTTGAGGAAGCATGTAGGAGTAAATTTAACATGTTTTTGAGGTAGATATGGTTGGCAGGGTTGAAGACTCTAAAATTTCTGCTCTCATCTGGTACCATCACAATAAAAACTTTGTGAACATGGTGGATTTTGCTGTTGTAGTTACTGTTTAGTGGAGGGTAAGGGGAGGATGAAGTGTGTTACAACTGACCTATTCATGGTAGAAAATGCAGGTGAAACGCTTAGACTGCATTGTATGTACGTATATGTATGTTCTGGATTATGTAGGTGGTTGTACATAAACATTTGATTGAGAATCATTGGAATGTAGGTAGTTATTTGAAACCGTGGGAAGGATGGGTGTTGGAGAACATGGTTTGGTGTGCGGAAGCCATGATACTTGGAAGGAGCTTCTGTTCTAGAATCTGAGCTGGGTGCTGGACACCAAGAAATGGTCAGAGGCTCCATTGTAATTTTTTCTCCCCTTTCTACCAACCCCATGACCAGAATGTCTACTATGGAAGCCTTGGGTACCATTGACCCAGGGGAGCAGGGATGAAAATTGTAAGTTATAAAGAGAGAGGAAAGGGAGGCTCCTCGGAACAATGGGCAGGGGCACTAGAAGAGGGTCCCCGGAGTAGCCAACAGAAGATCTGAGACCCCATCTCACCTGTTCCGTTAACCAGCTAAGTGAGCTCAAGCAAGTCGCTACTCTTCTCCAAGACCCAATTTCCTTAGCTATAAAATGGGCTTATGAAAACCAGCCTTCACTTAGAAGGTTATTATGTGGGTCAAAGGCTACCATGGATGGTATTCTTCGGTGGGATGATATAGTATTCTCGTGTTGGTCAGTGGTGGGCTACAGGGGGTGGTAGGGACTCAGTCCAAAGCCTCTGTTGAATTGAGTGCCAAGGGCAGGCTGAAATTCCTTTGTATAGTGTTGAAGTCATGCAGTTATCAATTTGTAGAGCAGAAAGAGGCCTGAGAAATGAATTTGTAGCGAGAATGCAGAGATCTGCAAAGTTATTCTGAGATAACATTCCACAGAAATTTCATGTCAGGGTCTACACTGGAAGCCAGGCCTCCCTTCTAGGTGTGAGATTCATTCTAGCTGAATTTGCACTGTCATGCAGAAGGAGCCTTTCCGAAAGTCACAAACATATGGATGAACTTAACAGAATCCCAATAGCATGCTGGTTCCTGAGGTGTTTCTGATCAGAGTACTGGCTGCCACACAGTGTTGACCAGAGTCTGTTTATTTGCATGCCAAAGAGGAAAATAATTTGTTTTAAACCGACTTATTTGCATTGCTTGCAGCTTTCTTGAAGTGATTTGTGAAATCAGTAATTAGCGTTATAATAGGGCCAGAGCCACTGTAAAAAGATGAATTGCTTTTGGAAACTTCTCAGGTAGCTGCCTCCTCCCCCTCCTCCCTGGTTTTCCAGAAGATCTTTATACACATCCTGCCGCTTTACTGCTCATCCCGCAGCAGAATGAGGGGTGTTACTAGGGGGTGGGGGCCTGTATGTGAATACGTGAGCTGACAGAGCACAGGACCAGTCTGCCCGTAACAGGCTTCATTCGTCCTTGTTCTCCCGGACTAGCGATGGGATCACTGGCGTCCCTACACTGAGATCTTACTGTTGAAAGTAGCATCCTTGGAAACATTCCTAATATGACCTGTGACGGGCTGAATTTTTATCACGTGCTGGGCACCACGCTGAACACTTCAAGTGTGTAATGTCATTTTATAGTCAGTAATCTCAGGAGGCAAGAACTATTTTATTTGCCATTTTATACAGGAGGAAATTAAAATGGGGAAATCTGCAACAGCCCAGTGTCCCTCCGCGAGGACTCAGATCTCGGTCTCACGCTGGTGCGTTTAGTGCCCTTTTCCACGCTCCCAGCCATGTCCTCCAACTCCCACAAATGGTTTAACTTCCCCCACTCACGTTCTTCAGCTTCAAAATGGTGATCACGTGAAAAGCACCCCCTCCCCCATCTTCGCAGGTGTCAGAAGGATAAAAGGTGCAGAAACATTTTGCAAACTTCAGAGTTTTGATTGTTCTCTGTCAAGTGCCCGCTAAATGTTTTTGTCTTGTCATTCATGCTGTGTCTTGGAACAATTATAACTTTACTGAACATTAAAGCTTTTCTTTTAAAAGCATACATCCGTGGGTTTTTCACCACCTATGTTTTGACAGAGCTGTTGAAGGGTTCGATTTGGGGTTTCTGTGATTTGCAAAATCATGCAAGAGTTCAAGCTTGATACATGTTCCAGGGGTATCTGGCACTTCCTTTTCTAGCAGCAGAGAGAACAGTCCGGTGCTACCGGTAAGTTGGTGTATAAAGGCTTGATACATGTCTTCTTTCGTCTTCTTCCGAGCGCTTTGGTGTTACAAGCAGCCGTCACACGGTGACCCTTCAGATGCCAGCCCAAAGCTCGGCTGGGGCTTCCGGTGATTTGAAGTGATAAATCCAGCGATCAGCCAGCCAGCGCAGGTCCCCCAGGAGCAGCTCAGAATCCTTGGTCATGCTCCGAGACTCTGTGTCCCTGTTCTGGGAGGGCTCAGGGTCTGGTATAACCAGCGCTCGGCTTTCTGCCCTACTCCCATGCTCTGACGTCCCCTCTCCCCCAGCCCCGTGCTCTGACGCCACCTCCCCCCTCCACTGCATTGCGTTACAGGTGTTGCTGGAGTCCATGGTCGACGCTGCCGAGGACCTTTGTCCCAACGTGATGAAGAAAGCCCACATTCGACAAGATTTGATTCACGCCAGCACCGAAAAGATTTCCATTCCACGGACCTTTGTGAAAAATGTCCTGTTGGAGCAGTCTGGAATCGATATCCTCAACAAAATTAGGTAGGTTTATGACGATAAGAAACCAAGGCTCTGCGGTTGCTGGGAGCGCGGTCGAGGCAGCCAGGGACACTGGTTACTGTCGGCTCTCACCAGGTACGGTGTGTCCGGCATGTCTCAGGGACAGTAATTGTGTATAAACGGAGCTGTGCGTGAACGCCCAGGTTTATACCTTTCCAAAACAAGATGACCACGGGTATGCCTGCCTTACTCAGGAGCCTACGGCTCTCTGCTCTTTTTAAGTGTTTGATTTTTAATGGTGGGGGAGGGGTGTACCTGTTTGTAATCCCTTTCTTCTCCTGAAGCTTATCTTCCACCTTTAAAAATTACTAACTTGACGGGGCGCCTGGGTGGTTCAGTGGGTTAAGCCGCTGCCTTTGGCTCAGGTCATGATCTCCGGGTCCTGGGATCGAGCCCCGCATCAGGCTCTCTGCTCAGCAGGGAGCCTGCTTCCTCCTCTCTCTCTTCCTGCCTCTCTGCCTGCTTGTGATCTCTCTCTGTCAAATAAATAAATAAAATCTTTAAAAAAAAAAAATTACTAACTTGAAGTTTGCTTTCTGCTACTGTGCTGTTCGGAGCAAATGCACAGTCTGGAGATAGGCGAGGAGGCCCACTTGGACCTGGCCCAATTTGCCCCCTGTGTTCTTTGGTGGGTTTGGATACTGGGTACGTGCTGATGCTGCTCTGGTGTGTTGACCTAGATTTGTGCCTGGTAAAGTTTGGAAGATAAACCAAGACATGAATATTGAGAAGCTGTGATCACCAAACAAACTGTCCTCGATTTCCACCTAGAAACTCTGTGGGGTGGGGCAGGGGGTTTGTGGTCTGAATGATGCTCCACGAATTCTCAGTGTTTCTCCACTGGGGAGTCAGAGGGCTAGAAACTAAATTTAGAAATATTTTTAAGTGTCCTCTCTTAACCATTTCTGAATCTCGGTAGGAATACTTTAGTGTAGCAAAAAATAACAACAAAACAAAACAAATCCCAGCTCCTCTCTGAAGAATTGGGAGTTGCGTTAACACAGAATGAATAATGTGTAGCCGAATGAGAACCTATGAGGAAAATGAAATTTAAAATAAGCCAACAATGACTACAATCTAGCTATGGAAAGTAGATCGTGGAACTGCGAGGACTAAGGAATTCTGCAGCGACGGGACAGTCTTGGGTCTAGGGTGCAGCTATCCCGTGTGTATGTTGGGGTCTCTAAAAATAAAAAACTCTAGGGTCAACTCAACTGAACAGTAAGACTTGAGCAATGAAAGGACTTTTCGAAGATTTACAGGACCCCATAGACCAATGATTTTATTGACTTGAGCCCAGACTAGGTATGCTTAGTATTTCTACAACCCGTAGTTAGGATTTTTATTGAAGCCCCTGAAGTATTAAGGAAGAAAAAAATTCATTGGCTACCATCCTTCTGTCCTACTGGATTGAATTACCAATAGATGACACTCTGACACCTTTACTGGAGTCCCAAATTCTGTCTGATACGGTCCCTTCTTTTGAAGATGGGCTCATTCTGGAAAGTGACCAGCAGGTTAGAATTCCTTGTGTCAGGGAATCACTTCTATGTTCATGGACTCCTTGCTCAGCTTTTTATAATGCGGTACTCATGTGGAATGAAAATACAAACGCCCTCACCTGTGTATACGTCCAGGCACAGCTGTGCCCACGCAGGTTCAGTGGAATCATTTCCTCTCAGGGTCTGCAGTTTGGGAGTTCAATAAGGAAGCACATTATTCAGTAACAAAATGATAGAACAATCCTGAAACTTTTTTTTTTTTTAGTGCATTTTAAAGGATCTTTTTTCGTGCTACAGTTTGAAACAGATAAGCCACCCCTCCCCAACTCAGATGGAAGGGGGGAGAGAAAGAGAGAAATAAATGACTGGTTCTATAGTTTTATGGGGAAGAAAATTCCCAAACATGCCTAAAAAAATGAGAGGAAGTACCAGTCAAAATTAGATTCACAGTCCCCCTCCTCTCCTAAACCACCCCTCCTGCCCCAGGTTTTCTGTGGGACCCAGTAATCTGTATTTTTAATAAGACCCAGGTGAGGGGCCTGGGTGGCTCCATTGGTTGGGTCACTGCCTTTGGCTTGGGTCATGATCCTGGAGACGTGGGAATGAGTCCCGCATTGGCCTCCCTGCTCAGTGGGGAGGCGGCTTCTCCCTCTGATGCTTCTTGTTCTCATGCTCACTCGCTCTCTCTCACATTCTTTCTCTCTCTCTCAAATAAGTTAATTAAAAAAAAAAAAAAAAAAAGACCCAGGTGACTCTTACCAGCAGACACCTCTGGGAAATAATAAAGTATTAGATAAGCCCAATAGCTCCCAAGACCTTGTTTCAGAGACAGGAATGAAAGAAATGCTGTTTTTTCTTTAGCCTAGGAAAATTTCTAATGTAGACATCAAAGACTTAGTGCCTCCGTTTTTCCCCCGCCATCCGAAATCTGCCTTGGCAGAAAAAATTCTCAATGCAAATTACTGCCTTCAGGTTAGAAAGGTTTTTCCCTGTTCCACAAACAGACTTTCAACCTTAGCTTTAGGGCTAAATAATTTTATTTTGATTACTCTTTTCCCTGCTCTAAAAACTTTAATAATTCTTGACTTCAAAAGCAGACTGAACTCACCAGGCGATGTGGGAGCATGGGTCTGTCTCTCTCCAGAACACTCACCTTCAGCTGTGTCATGTGTTCGTGTCCGTTTATGCGTACGTGCATTTCGGTAGCATTATTCAGACTAAAGACAACAGGTAGAATTTGAATTCTTGGGAATACCAGATCACTAAAATGCAGACTGAAGTACCAGCTTTCTGACGGAGACCCTCGTGGCTTGTTTATTAGTGAAAACCCTAAAACTAACTAGTGGGTTACTTTGTGTCGAGTGCATGCCTTCTTAAGGTCAGACGAGGGACACTGAAGGTACATGTTTGGTAACCTGTTCATAAAAGGCAAGAGAGTGGTGAATTTGTTAACAGTTGAAGTAAGACGGGGAGTATGGCAGAAGCAGCTCAGTGTGGTACCACCGGATTGGTAAAAAGCTTTGTATTTTTTTTTTTTTTAAGGCAGGGGACATGCGTATTAAAGTAATAACCCAAATTTAACAATCAGACTAGACTTTCTTATTTTCTCCAGCCCAGGTTTGTTTTCCTTTATGTCGAGGGAGGAATCGTTCCTCCCCACACGGTACATCTGGTTCCCATTCAGTTTTTCTTTATCCAGATGGTTCTCATTTATGCCCCTACATCTTGAGTTCTGAGATGGCAGAGACAGGTTGACATTGGCCAAGCAGGTCTGTTACGTGTGTGTTTATGGTGGCGTTTAAGGCTCATCTTTGGAAATCCTTAGCCCTGTGCAAATGTTTGATATTCCGTTTTCAAAGACAAAAGCGGAATCACAGTTGACCTTCTCGACATAGCATCAGGGGTGGGTGACATTTTTTCTTTGCACAAATTAAAATGCTACTGCGTCCTTTTGCCTTTCACGTAGTGAGGTGAAGCTGACAGTGGCCTCCTTCCTGTCCGATCGGATTGTGGACGAAATCCTGGATGCGCTGTCACACTGCCATCACAAACTGGTGAGTGCTGTGCCCAACTGGAGTGGGACTTCCGGCTGGGGTCTGCTGTGACGCCGGACAGCCTCCCGGTTGGGGAGGCAGCTTCTTTCCCACATCTTACTCCTCTGCAGCTTTCTGGGCCATGATCCTACTTTTCCTTTCTGACATTGCTTCCAGACGATTCTAGAACATGTTAGAATCTCTCCAGAGGGAATGGAAGGGCAAGGAAAAGTGATGGTATTGAGAAATTTTGTCGTGTGTTTATAACGCAGATCAAAGTTTTGCTAAGAAATATTACTGAGACTGAGATCTAAAATTAAGATATTTTAGGTCATTTAACTTTTGTATGCATATTTTGTTGCTCTCCGACTCACATTGGAGAATGGACTATTCCTGAAAACATGGGGTGAGGGGAAGGAGATATGTGGAGTCCAAAGAAAGGCCAGAGTCAAGTGGACACATTCTAGGGATTGGTGGCTGCATGCCCAGCCAGGCCTCTTGGATATAACTGAGGTAAAGAAAGAAATTTCTTTTGTCTAGAGACTGGTTTTATCAAGGTAGAAGACTTCCAATATCACTGCATATATAAAATATATCAGAAATGTCATGTGTTTTCAACTTCAGGAAGTCCCCTGAGGCACCAATGGAGGTTTCATTACTCCTTCTGTCTTATGTCGCAAACATTTTAACAGTGCAATGTGGGTACGGATCTCTCAAGCAAGTCTTAACATTTTCTCCAGAGAAAGATTTCAAGTTAACTGTGCAGGCTGGAAATGTTCGGGATTTATGTCATTGAGTTGTTGGTGACGCCAGCGAACCCCCCAATGAGAAAAACGTAACCACTTCTTCTCCGTGAGGCAGACAACATGACTATTTCAGAAAAATACGTAGGCCGTCCTCTAAAACCGAAAAGGTAGGACAGGTGTCTCCTGCCTGGGAGGAGCTAGAGCTGGCCAACTCACCACCGGGCACCCGTCCCCAACAAGGTCAGGTCAGCAACGAAGAGGAAACACGGAGAAGTTTCTAGAGCAGTCGCAGATGGCCACAAACGCAAACACACGTTATTTCTCCAAAGTTTCATGTTTATTGTATTTTACCAATATGTCGGTGTATGGCAAACCGGAGATATTAAAAACTGGTTCATCACCCCAGAGGTTTTAAGAAGCACTAGTTTCTCACGGCACAGGAAAGAGCTGTGTTAGCTCCCAAGTCAGACTTTTCCTTTTTTTAAATAAGCAGAAACAAAATCAATGGAGCATCCTTTATGGGAACTTGCTCGATAACCCACAGCTTCAGGGTTCCCTCAGAATTCCCCCTTGATATTGAATCAACATGTCTGCCCACGAGCGCCACACTGGATGGCCGAATTGTTCACTTTTTTTCGCATTTGTCTGTCTTTGAAGAATTTACTCAAAAAGTATACTTTTTAAAAAATATTTTTTTAACAATTTAAAATAAAGAATTGGGTGCACTTATGTATTGAACTTTAATATTCTGATTTGGATTGTAAGAGGAGAGGTTAACTGGTGTGTGAGAGGAATAGTATCTAAAAAATGAAGTTTTGTTTTCAAAGACATTCCAATGCCTTAATATATTCCCCAGTTTAAGTTTAGAAGCGTAGCCAGAGGTTCACAGTATTGTCAACTGGTTCTCGTCATTTCCGAAGAATTAAATCAAAGTTCCTGGTGATGAATCAGCCTGCCACTCGAGATTATTAATGTCAGCCCCGTTTATTCTACCTCTTATCGTTAATGTTTTTAGGTTTACCTAAAGCCTAACAGTGGGAATTAATAAATCCTATCACATACAATATTCACTACCTGAAAACAATGAAAGCTGGCCACAATTGCAATTTTGTTAGCGATTTCCTTCCTGTCAGCCCTTTAAAAACAGGAAAGGTTGGAATCATTTTATTTCCCCTAATTAGATACTTCTAATGCACTAGATGGAGAAAGAAGTTATTTCAGAGGAACTGTGAAATAAAATTGATAAAAAAGAACACTCCTTATTTTCTTCTAGACCAAGTGTTCTTGTCATTTACTAAAGGAGGTTTTTTAATTTCTGGCCTAAGACAATCTACCCTCCAAAGGTGCGAAGAGGTAAGTCATTTTAGGGTGAATGCATTAAGCGTTGTCATTGGCCGCAGGCAGATAGAGTCCCTCGCCGCGCCGCCTTGTGGAAGGGTCTCCCAGAGCTCGGCTAACACGCTCTTCCCTTGCCTCTGGTGCTGGCTCTCCTCCACTCTCCCAGGCCGACCATTTCAGCAGACGCGGCAAGACCCTCGCTCAGCCAGAGACCTTAGAGCTCGAGCTGGCGGAGGAGAAGCCGGCAAAGCGCTCGGTGGTTACGGAGGAGGAGCTCACGGAGATGGAGCGTTTGGAAGATCTGGATACTTGTATGGTAAGACGCGTCCTCCAGTGACGCCATCACCCCATCGCCACTGGGCTTTGCTACTGTTTTTTGTTGTTCCTTTTTAAAGCTCTCACCATTACAAACCAGACCCAAACAGAACTCCCCGCCAGAGAGCCTTCTTTCAGAAACGTGTTGCTTACAGAGACAGTTAATGAAGCTAAAGCATCAGGTCCCCGCTAAAGGCTTGTACCTTATTTTGGATTTATAAGTTCATAAAACTTCACTTTATTTTATTTCATCTTATTCTATTCTGTATTCCAGTGCAATTAACATACAGCGTAATTTTAGTTTGGGGTGTACAATACAGTGATTCACCACTTCCCTACATCACCCAGTGCTCAGCACGACAGGCATCTTCCTTCATCCCTGTCCCCATGTCCCCTGTCCCCCACCCCCGCCACCCCCCGTGACCATCAGTGTGCTCTCTAGAATGAAGAAAATCGGTTGGTTTGTCTTCCTTGGTTTGTCTCTCTCTCTTTTTCCTTTGCTCGTTTTTTGGGCGATTTTTTTTGTTGTTTCTTAAAAAGCACCCCCATACCCCCTTCCCAACGAAAAGTTCTGGAAGTTTCAGTGAGCATAAAACCTGGATCTGTGCCTGTGGCTGCAGTGGGAAAAAATTCCTAAGTTCATTAGGAGAAATGGATTATTTAACTTCTGAAGGTCATTTGTGACAAAATATTTTCAATTAACCCATTAAAAAGGTAGGGAGGACTTTCCCCACACACACGAAATATGTAGGACGACAGTTTCTGTCTTGGTCCTATCATTTTTCTCCCCTCTGGTGCTTTTTTCTGTTTTTAATTTACCCAGTTTTGGGGTATCGCCTTAAATTTGCATTTCCGGTTAGTTCTCTTGGCTTCCTATGCTTTAGAGGATGGAAAGTACATCAAGGGCTCACCCAGCAGTAGGCCTTGATTCCTAAGTCACTTTCTGTATTTCACGTCACGTATCCATCTGGCCATGTACCTGGAGTGTTCAGTGTGTTGATATGTATGGGTTTTTTTTTTCCCCTCTGAGGATAATATTACTTAAGTTCCTATTTCATTATTTTAGAATTTATATTACTAATATAGTTACTTCTTACTTTATCATAAGAACAGATGTATGTGCCTCTCAATATTTTTATGTTTCACTAAAATAATTCATGCTTTTAGGAATTCCTCATAACCTGAGAGAGTGCCACTGAGATGGTATCTTGGCTACTTTTTTGCCCAAATGTTTCTACATCAGCTAATAATTCTAGTAATTTTTAGATTCAGCCATTGTCAGGAATGATACTTATTTTCAACTTTCAAAACCAAGGACTTTATGTGCCTGCTATTATTTTTCTAGTCCAGAAGAAAAGATCATGCTTTGAGTAGTTCCGTATTTATAAACCATTGTTATCTGTTAAAGTCTGTGAATAAAATAATATATAATAATATATAATATATATAATAATATATAATAATAAATAAAATAAAATAATTGAGAACCCTCCAGATGAAACCCTATCATATATATACACAAGGAAGCTTACAAAGAAAGCCAAAAATACAGGGGCGCCTGGGTGGCTCAGTGGGTTAAAGCCTCTGCCTTCGGCTCAGGTCTTGATCCCAGGGTCCTGAGATGGAGCCCCGCATCGGGCTCTCTGCTCAGCAGGGAGCCTGCTTCCCTTCCTCTCTCTGCCTACCTGTGATCTCTTTCTGTCAAATAAATAAATAAAATCTTTAAAAAAAAAAAAAAAGAAAGAAAGAAAGCCAAAAATACATTCCTAGATTTCAAAGACCATTCTAGTATAGCAAAAGATGACAAATAATTTGTTATGTAACTCTGTAAACTTACAAGTGTATTTGGTCTATATCTGGGAATTATCAAGTTTTTTACTAACTTGTCTAGTATATTATAAAATGTAGCTTTAGTATTTTTTTTTTTTACCTTGTTTGCATCTTGAGGCAATGGAAGTTAACATAGGGTAACTATTCCTGGAAGGTCTTAGGCTAACCCTAAAAGAAAATAAGTGTGTTGTAGAAAATAAATATGAATTAAAAATTCAAAATTAACTCTGTATGTCACATTTCCTGCCAGAATTATTCAGAGCTGGGAAGGAATAAAGAAAACGTGAGCTAGTAAGATGTATTTTGTTGCATTTGGGTAAGTTGTGTGGTTTAGGATGAGAGTGTGTTGGCTAAGAAAGACTGACTTAGCTACTGTAAGGATGGTGTTTCATTGTGTCAACTTTGTTTTTGTTTAATTCTCTTTGGTTTTGTCATGTGAAAGAAAAAGGTGGTTGTTCTTAAGGTGGGTGGAGTGAGAGGAGTGGAATAATTTCTTTAAATTTATTTATTAAAGATTTTATTTATTTGACAGACAGAGATCACAAGTAGGCAGAGAGGCAGGCAGAGAGAGAGGAGGAAGCAGGCTCCCCACTGAACAGAGAGCCCGATGCAGGGCTCGATCCCAGGACCCTGAGATCATGACCTGAGCGGAAGGCAGAGGCTCAACCCACTGAGTCACCCAGGTGCCCCTAAATTTATTTTTTATTAAGATGCAATCAACAGGGCGCCTGGGTGGCTCAGTGGGTTAAAGCCTCTGCCTTCGGCTCAGGTTATGATCTCAGGGTCCTGGGATCGAGGCCCGCATCGGGCTCTCTGCTCAGCAGGGAGCCTGCTTCCTCCTCTCTCTGCCTACTTGTGATCTCTCTCTCTCTCTCTCTGTCAAATAAATAAATAAAATCTTAAAAAAAAAAAAAAGATGCAATCAACATATAATACTCTTAAGTTTTATTTTTAATTTTTATTTTCTTAAAGATTTATTAGGGAGAGAGTACACATGAGCTGGGGAAGGGGCAGAGAGAAAGAGAATCTTAAGCAGGCTCCCCGCCCAGTGCGGATCACTGGGCTCCATCCCAGGACCCTGAGACAAAATCAAGAGTCCGACAACCGACTGAGTCACCCAGGCTCCCCTTTTCTTATTTGTTTTTGAAGTAAACTCTACACCCAATGTGGGTCTCAAACTCACAACCTCTGAGATCAGGAGTTTCAGGCTCTATTGATAGAGCCTGCCAGACATCCCAACATTGTTTTACTTTGAGGTGTATGACATAATGATTTGATATATGTATATATTGTAAAAGGATGACCACAGTAAGTTAACATCTGTACACATAGTTACAGATTTTTTTGTACCTGGTGGTAGCTTTTATTATCTCCTCTTGGCAACTCTCCAATAGGCAGTAGGGTACTAACTCTACCTACAGGGGCATACATTATATCCCTCGGACTTGTTTATCAGACAGCTAGAAGTCTGTACCTTTCTTTAAAATGCAGATGCATTTGGCTTATATTTTAAAATGGAGGACCAGAGGGCAAAACCACGCTTCAGGAATGCCCAGCCCGGAGTGGCTTCCGTTTTGTAAGAATGTTCCTGTCGCCGTGACACAGAGGAAACAGGACTAGACCAAGGTCTCTCAGAGCCATGCTCTGACAGTGGCCCAAGTTAGAAGGGCTGTCCTTTCCTGGCCCCGACTGCCACTCCTGACATGAGCACCTGTTGCATCACGGGACGGAGCAGGGCGGAAGGCGTTGAGGGGGGTGACCTGAGAAACACAGGACAGAGCTCTCTACAGAAACCCAAATACACGGGCAGAATTTTTAAGTCATGAAAATTGCTTTGGTCTGTTCCAGTGAATGCTTTAATCATTGTTTGAAGAGGCTAATGACTTGTGAAGTAGCGGAAAGCCGAGCTGAGTTTGCTGTCAGTTTAATGAGCAGAAACATCCGTGCGTCCACAGTGTGTGTGTGAGTGCGTTTCGGCTGCGAGGATGTTCTCGATACCCTCCGCCCACCGTCATCCTCAGCCACCCGCAGACAGCACATTACGCACCACGACGGCTCCCTTGAGGGCAGGGCTCTCGCCTAAAGAAAATCAATTTTCTGGGCTCTGGGCTTCTTACCCTAAGCCAGTGGCACAAATTCAGAGCGAATTTGAAAGGGAGAGAGGATTCGTCTCACCTTTTAAAACTACCCGCCCTGCCGCCGCCTTTCGTGATCAGAGTGGCAAATCATTTGTGTTTCTCATTGACGTCTGTCACCAGATTCGTGCTGTGGTCCTCACGTGGGGCCATTTTAAAAGGGTTTGAAGAACAGCTTTCCAAGGCAGAGACATTGAATTTGTTTTGGTTTTCTAAATGAGCCTGTGCCTATTCCTTGGCAACATTTCTGGCTTAAGTGATCCAGGAAGATAGGACACAAGGTTAACTGCTGTGTGGAAGATTCCCAGAAGGCCAAGAGCATCCGTGCCTGCAGACAAGCTTTCCCATGTGGAATCGTGAAGCCCCGCTGGGGAGGACTTGTGCCCCACACACAGCAGAGCCCTGGCAAGCGTGGGGATGTAACTTTGCTCTTCCCTGAAATGTTGGTTGAGAGCCCAGAGCCCGTGACACTTTCCCTAGGGCATACCAAAGTAACTTGGACTCCTCCAACCTTCTCCTTAGAGATTCTACTTATAGACTCAGGATCCTGGCATTTTTTTTGCCTGTGATGTTCATGACATCTGCTAAATCTATTTTTGAACATTTCTTTAACAAACTTAGTAGGCAGTCTGGGCGGCTCTTTTTTTCCCTACCCCTAGATAATCTTATCATGTTTCTTCCATGTCTCCCTGGTCCAAAAGTCAATCCCATTTCGGTCCTTATGTCTCTGTAAGGAACCACACTATAATCACACTAAGGAAGGTTTAGCACCATAAATGAGGGGTAGAAATTCGTATTGGTTGAGTTCAGTGGTTGCCTTTTTGGAAACGGAAACAACCTATATGACTGATTTCTTAAACTTACTGTCTAAGTGAGGGCTGAAGTTAGGGTGACTGATGAGTGGTTTGACGCCCGAGACCTTCTCGTCAGCCTTAACTTCATGATTGTTGAAGGAAAAGGCAGTTTTCTTCAAATAAAAAGGCAGAGTTACAAAACTGTCTTCAGTCAAATAATTATCTCTTTTTCTTTTCGCTAG